CAACTACCATATGATTCAGCAAATTCTGCTCCTAGCTATATACTCAAAAGAACTGAAAACAAGGACTCTAACAAACAACTACATGTTCACAGTAGCCAAAAGGTGGGAACAACCCAAGTGTCCATCAACAGATGAATGAATAAATAAAATGTGGGGGGTGTGTGTGTGTGTGTATAATGGAATATTATTCAGCCATTAATAGGAATGAAGTTCTGATACATGGTACAACATGAAACATTTGCTAGGTAAATAAGGTGAAAACATTATTCTAAGTGAAATAAGCCAGGCGCAAAAGGAAAAATATTGTATGATCCCACTTAAACAAAATATCTAAAGTAGGTAAATTCACAGAGATTAAATAGTAGGTTAGAGGCTACCAGTAGATAGAGGGAAAGGTGAGTGGGGTTACCACTTAACAGGTATAAAGTTTCTGTTTGGGGTGACAAAAAAGTTTTGGAAGGAGTGGTGATGGCTGCACAACACTGTGGAAGTTATTAATGTCACCTAATTGTATATTTAAAAATAATTAAAATGACATATAGAAAAAAAGATTCACTCTTTCTACAGTAACTTACCACCAGAGTATCGGACCCCTGTAGAAAAAGTGTGCCTGTGAATCCCTCATACACAAAGTGAAAATAGCTTGCCATGGGAGGAAGAATCTTGGGATAAACCTTAGTGGAATTACTGGTATGCAGTCAAGAGTTAAAGTTATGCCATGCATCTAGCACAATACCTGTCACATGGTAGGTTTCAATAAACATTCGCCCAGAGAAAGTTAGGGGGAGGTGAGGGAAAGAAGGTTGGTGTGAGGGAAACATATTATTGCTGCTGACTGTAAGGGATTAGACTCACAAAATAACCCAGTCAATTTTAGTTCTGTTATACATGTGTAGAACTTATGGAATCTAGATTTTGATGGGAGGAAAATATATATTAAAAATTATTTTCCGTAGTTTCCCCACATACTATTAGTAAAGACAGAAAATATAATGGAAGGAAATCCTACTTATATTGGCAGTAAAATAGATGAAATACCTTGGAATAAACTTAATAAAAGAAATGTTTATCATCTATACATAAAATTTAAAACTTTACAGCTAGACATAAAAGAGGCCCAAATAAATAGAAAGATATTCTTGCCATTAGGAAGGAAGACTCAACAATGTAAGGATGTTGATTCTCCCCATATTAAACTTAAATTTTAATAGGATCTCAATTTTTTAAAAAATCAACAAAAAAATCTTTCTGGAACTTGATAAAATGTTCATCTAGAAGAATAACCATTAGAGAAAACTTGGAAAACTCTTAAGGAGTAATGACTGGGACCCATATATTAATCACAACATTTATCCTAACAGTATACTAATGCTCAGGGACCAAAAAAAAGTCTCAAAGTAAACTCAAGAATATATATATGATACTTCAGTATGATAAAAAAGAAATTTTAAATAATCATTGAAAAAACAATTTAACAAACTGCCAGGCAGATAACTGGCTAAACCATCTAGAAAAGTATAAAGCTGGATTCCCACCCCATGCCTTATCCAGATAAAGATTCAAAGGTTTCAATTAAAAAAGAAAAAATTCAAAAAATTAAGAGAATGGATAATTTTTTATAATCTTAGAGCAGAGAGGGCCTTTTTTACAAGACACAATGAAACCTCATTTAAAAAAAAGAAATTTCCCTAGATAAAAAGTTTTACTTTCTACACAACAAACTCATCAAAGTCAAAACAGGGAAAAAAGTATTTGCAACATATGACAATAAAAGGTCTGAATGTTTTAGAAGATAAAGGATTTACTTCTCTTAGAATTACAAAAAATGGTCAAAAACACAGCAGAAAAAAAAACCCTCAAAATAACAAGTGTTGGCAAGGATTTGGAGAAATTGGAACTTCTGTGCACTGTTGGTGGGAAAGTTGGAGCAGCAACCACTATGGAAAACAATAGGGAGGTTCCTCAAATAATTAAAAATATAATTGCAAGATGATCCAGCAATCCCACTTCTGAGTATATATCCAAAAGAATTTGAAGCAGGATCTCAAAGATATTTGCACACCCATATTCACAGTAGCATTATTCGCAATAGCCAAGAGGTGAAAGCAACCCAAATGTCCATCAACAAATGAATGGATAAACAAAATATGGTATATACATATAATGGAATATTATTCAGACTTAAAAGGAAGGAAATTCTGTCATGTGCTACAATGTGGATGAACCCTGAGGATATTCTGCTAAATGAAGTCAGTCAAAAAAGACAAATACTGTATGCTTCCACTTAACATGAAATATCTAAAGAAGTCAAATACTAGAAACAGTAAAAAGGTGGTAGCAAGGGGCTAGAAGGAGGGGAAAACGGAGTTCTTTACTAGGCAGTTTCAATTTTGCAAGATAATAAAGTTCTGGAGATCAGCTGTACAACAATGTACTCAGCACTACTGAACTTTACACTTGAAAATGGTAAAGATAGTAAATTTTAAGTTTTATGTATTCATTTATGTTTAAGTTTATGTATTTGTTACTTCAATTGAAAAGTCTGTTGTGGGGAGAACACAGTTGATTCATAGAAAACATAAAAATGACCAAAGGGGAAAAAGAAAAACTACTGAATTTCACTAATAAACAAAATGCAAATTAAAAAGAATAAACTCTTTTCACCTACCACAGGGGCAGGGTGTTTTGTTTGTTTTTAACGATAATATGCAACACTGACTAGGGTATGGGTAGAAAGGCAACCTCAAAAATTTTCGGTGTAAGCACAGGTACTTTTTGGGAAGACAATTTAGCAACAGCTACTAAATACATTTGTATCCCTTTGATCTTTGATCTAGCACAGCTGTTCTTAAACAAAGACACATCATCCTCAGGGTATGTGGCAGTGTCAGAAGACACTTTTGACTGTCACAACTGGAAGGGAATGTTACTGGTATCTAGTGATCAGAAACCAAGGATGCTGCTAAACATCCAACAAAGCAGAGAATAAGGAAGAATTATCTGACCCAAGCCAGAATTGCCTTACCCAAAATGTCAACAGTCCTAAAGCTGAGAAACTCTGACCTAGCACTTGAAATTCTAGTCACACATTCTACAGATCACTCACACAAGTGGGTACACATATATGCAACACTATTTCCTGGAGAATTACTTATAATAGCAAAAAGGAGAAGCAAATCTCCCACAGAGAATACTTATGTAAGTTATGATACAGTCATCCTGTATTACATAATTTAAAAGATATGAGGTAGATCTACATGTAGTTACAAGGAATGATATTCAAAATATTGTTAAGCTAAACAACAAAACAGCCCTACAACAGGATCTGAGTTTTAGAAAAATACATTAATGCATGTAAAAGGAAAACAACCTAGATCAGTATTACCTTTTCAGCGAGGTGTCATGGCACCGTTACCTTCTTTGCCACCTTTTTTGCATTTCTGTTATGCTTCTAGTGTTTTAAATAATAATAGCAGCTAACATTTATTGTAAATTTCTAAGTCAAGTTGTTTAACTACTTTACTTGTATTTAACTTCATATTTATCTTTACAACCACTATAAAGTACTAATTTTTAAAGATGAGAAAATAAAGGAATGGAAATTAATGGAACCAGATTCATGAACATATGATTATTTTTTAAACAGCTTTATTGAGGTATAATTTACATTCCATAAACTAAATTGTTTTAAGTGTATAATTTAGTGATTTTCAGTTAATTTAGAATTGTGCAACCACTCCCATAATCTAACTTTAAAACAGTGCCATCATCCCCAAAAGAAATCTCATGCCTATTTGCAGTCATTCTCTGTTCTGACCCTCAGACCTAGGCAATCACTAATCTGTCTTTATGGATTTGCCTTTTCTGAACATTTTATACAAATGGATCATACAGCATGGGGGTTTTTTGGTCTGGTTTCTTTCACTTTATTTATTTATTTTTTGGAGGGGGAGGTAATTTGGTTTATTTATTTAATTTTAGAAGAGGTACTAGGGATTGAACCCAAGACCTGTGCATGCTAGGCAATGTATTCTATCACTTGAGCTATATCCTCTTCCCCTGGTTTCTTTCCCTTTAGAATGTTTCTGAGGTTCATCCAATTGCAGCACGTATTGGACCTTTGTTCCTTTTTATTGTTAAATAGCATTCCATTATATAGATACATCATACTTTCAGTTGATTGATATCTCGGCTATTTCTTTTGGCTATTGTGAATAAAACTGCTGTGAACACTCATGTACAAGTTTTTGTGTGGACATAATTTTCATTTCTCTTGGGTAGATACCCAGGAGTTGAATTGTTGAATCATACAGTAAATACATGTTCAACTTTTTATGAACCTGCCAAACTGTTTTCCAAAGTCGTTGCATCATTTTACATTTCCATCAGGAATATATGAGTGTTTTTCCACATCCTCACCAACACTTACTACCTACTATTTTTTAAGGAAAACAGTGAAGGTTAAGTATTTTTGAGAGGCTGAGACCACTTATACCTGTCACTTTTTGTCACACTTTACCTTCTTTCTTTTTTTTTTTTTATTTTATTTTTTACTGAACTGTAGTTGATTCATAGTGTTACTTTCAGGTGTACAGTAAAGTGATTCAGTTAAACATATACATACACATCTATATATTTTTTCAGATTCTTTTCCATTAGGTTATTATAAGTAATTGAACATAGTTCCCTGTGCTATACAGCCCTTGTTTATGTTTTATATACAGTAATATGTATCTGTTAATCCCATCACACTGTACTTTCTATATGTAAACTCTGCCACCTCTCAAACATCTACCCACTCCATGACATAAATCAAGACTTAACAAATTATGAATGTGTTCAGTAAGTGTAGAAACTAAACACTAAACTGCAATAAATAAACTATGCAAATGACTGCAATAAACTGCTCTTACATAAATTCTACTTCAAATTTTAAAAGAAAGGTTATATATATATGCACACAGTACATACATAATAGCATTTAGAAAAGGCATACATACCTAATTTTAGTTCAATTGCTGTGTTGGTATTACATTTGTACTCTGCCAGTTTCTTCTCAACCGCACTCTTGTATTCAACCAAAAATTTCTCCATAGCACCAAATCCTAAGAAAAAAGTTTGTAATAGTCTAGTTGGAAGTGGTTTAAATAGTGAAACCTACAAATAGAGTTCTTATTAGAAGTGGAATAAAGGCTTAAAACACACTAATAGATCTTAGATCTCCATATACTCCTGAATAAATGTACTGAGTATGATTGTCTCATTATAAGACAGAAAAAACACCACTTTTGAGATAAGAGGCTTATGAAGTAGGCCTGTTTTACATAAAAGAGTAAACATGAAAATTAATATGAGAGGCTACTGACATTTCTGAATATTTAATAATATAAATTGCCTGCTAAGATTTATATCTAAGTAGCCTTTTTAAAAGAAATAGAAAAAGGATGCCACTGCTCCACTAAGAATCAAGGTAAGAATGTCCTTTGATAATTACAAGATAGCATTTTATTTCTAATAGTGGAAAATTCTACCCAGAGGACTTTTAGATCAGTTATTAAAAAACCAATAACTAATAATGCATAGATAGATTACCTCAGGAAGGCTACACAAGAAATGGGTAACCACTGTTATGTCTAAAATAAGAGAGAAGTAATGGGGACAAGGTTAGGAAAGAAAATTTTCACTGTGTTAACAAAAAAATTTTTTAACCATGTGTATAAAGACATGGTCTATTGGAATAACCAAATGGTTTTACTACAACGTGGCTACTCATCAATGTATATAACAAATAATTAACAATGGAAGAAATCATCATCAAGAGAAACTTTCACTCAAAGATGACAATAAATCTCCTGGGTAAATGATCACGAAAATCAGGAAAAATTCAGGAAAAAAAGATCAAGAGCAGAAATGAAAAACAAGGCACACTGATATGCCATAAACTTCAGTTAAGTGGTTAAAACACAAGTATACAGAAAATGGGGGAACAACTGCAGCAGTTTAGATTAATGGTTTGGGGTCACAATTGCTGGATTCAAATCCAGGTATCACGTTTACCTTCTAGATCTATGAACTAGAGCACATTACTGGGCTTCTGTGACCCTAATCTATAACAATGAGATAATAGAACCCACCTCAAGGCATTTATGTATAATCTAAGCACCAAACCATACCTTTGCTTAATCCCCACAATTCTGTAAGACACATAGATTCCATATCACCCCATTTCATATTCAAAACCTCAAGCTTAGAAAGAGGTTTGGTTGTTTAAAGGGCACCAATGGTGGGGCTGAGATTCGAATTTATGTGTAACTGTCACAACCCTGTGCACTACACGTCCCCCCCTCTTTTATAGTACCAGTGTACCCCCCAAATCCTACAGTCTTTATCTGATAGAACAGCCAGGTATAGCCTATCTATCCAACAGATCCATAAAAGTGTAGAGACTACTATGAAGGCACTGGGAAAAGATAAAAGAAAAAGAAACTGTCCATCACTTCAAAAGATACCTGATTGGGAATAAAAAGCATATACTCAAACAAAACCAGCCTTAATACATGTACTAAATAATGGCAATTATAGTTATTAAATCCTGCAAAATGAAGAAACTCAATAAAGAGCAAAATAAAATAAACACAAGAGTATAATAGACACACCCTAAATGAGAAGTTTAGATGAAGGAAGAATGCGAGAACTACCTCTTTCTCACAGGGAATCTAAATAGTTCCTAGTAATACTAAAGTATGGAGAGATTGAGAAGAGAGTATAACCAAGTCAATCAAAATTCAAACGAGAGCCCTACTGCAGCAATGCGCTAGTCAGAAGTTGACTTGTGGAAGGTGGAAGGAGACCTGGAAGAGGAGGGTCCGAGCATTAAGATCAGCTGGCGGGAACAGAACCAGACCGGCAGCTGAGGCAGCAGTGGGCAAAGGGAACAGAGAAGAGAAACAGGCCTTCAGGCACCTGGCACCTCACAAGCCTTTAAAATCGCGACGCTTTCTCCCGGTCTCTTCGGCCCTCCGCAGGGGCCGAATACTTCGCAGAAGGCGCAGAACCCCGAGCAGTTGGGGGCGGGGGTACGAACCTCCGCGGATAAGGGGCTAGGCTGAGAGTTCCGCGCTTCCAGGCTGAAGCAGGCCTTCTAGGACCCAAGCTAGAGCCCGAAAGTTCAAAACGGGCACTGTCACCCTCGTCTCGTCGTTCTTTCCCAAACCTGCACACCCCCTCCCCCTGGTAAACTTTTCCCGGGAACTTACCCGCCATTTCCGAGCTGCGAGCACCCGCGGCCGAGAGGGGACGAATCAACCCGCGCGCTCCCTGGCCGGAAGTGAGCGCACTTTTTGACGCATTTCCCCCGCCCACCCCTGGCAGGTCGCTGGCCAATGAGAGGAGGAGGCTCGAGGCGCGGGGTGGCGGAAGCGCCTCGGGAGGAGGGGCTAACGCCGCGCGGAATGCTCCGACCGGCGCCTAGCCACAGTGGTACCGTCAGCCCCTTCGCAGGCCCTAATTAGCGGCGGAGGCCTCAAAGGGGTGTTCACCGTAGAGACGCTCGCTGAGCGGAGGAGACTTTCTTTGGAGTTGATTAGAATAATATACACACCTTGTGGCTGTTTTCTGTTCCCCTCTAGCGATGTTTTGGAGACTGGTAGAAAAAGTTTCTCCTTGGCCTGGACAGTAGATCCAAACACCTGAGCCCTAGTTTTACAGGTAAAATGTAGGGATTAATTTGCAGCTGTGGGAGAAATTTTCCCTTATTTTATTTGTTTCAATTTTTTTTTTTGCCGTAAATACTGTTTAACATTCTTTTTCTCTCACTTTTTTTTTTAACAGTATGTATACAGTGTGATATTTAAGTACTCTGCCTTCATTCTTTAAGGTCGTTAGGGAACTGTATGCACCGAAATTGCTATATAGTAATATCTCAAGTGACCTAATCTGGTCCTACATGCCTCAAGTCCTAGTAGCCCATACCACATCGAAGGGTGCTACCTGAGTTGGGCCATAGGGCTTGTTAGTATTTAGTAACTGCTGAAACTGTTTGTCCCAGAGAATAAGCCACTGTTTAGGCATCCACAAATACTCCCACACTGTTGTCTATGCAGTAGAATGCCTTGTCTCAACAAATGTTGGTTAATAGGTGTTACAATGATTATACTAGAGCTAAAATGGACCCTAGGGATGATAGTCTAGAACTAATACACTCCCTCACTTTAGAGATAAGAAAACTAAAGCCCAGAAAAGAGAAATTGCCCAAATTCACGCTCAGGATACAACCTATGCAAGAGCCCAGTTCTCCAGATGCTCAGCTCAATATTCGACTACATGGAGATGGCCCTCCTGAAGATAAAAATCAGAAAAGGTATTCAGAATGCTCAGATCCTTTTTCTTTAAGCCTGAGTGAAACACAGGAAATTACAATCTTAATGTTAAGAGGAAAGCTGAAATCATTATCACTAATGACATTATGGATTAAAAAAGGAAAACAATCTTTTTTAATACAGTCGTTTTTCCAAAATGGCAAGACATCATTTCTTTCCAAAATCACCTTACTTGAAGATTACTCAATAGCTGACCAGCAATTATAATCCTTAAAATAAGAAATCTACAGGAATTTGTCTTAACTGCAGCAAATCTGAAACATTTTATGACACTATGTGACTTTATGGTTAGTTGTAGGGAAAATATATGATGAAACATATATGATAATATGAATAAGAAATAAGGTGAGTATGAGTAAGAAATGTGATGAAACCTATATATCGTGTCTAGTATTTAGTATGATCTGCTTGCAGAATTGAGGTTACAGTTTTAAATTATCCTCATCTTACAACTGTTCACACCTATTAAAAATGTCACAGAATACATGCTTAGCTGTTTACCTAAGTGATAAAAGAATAACTTAAAAATTTTTATTTTGGGGGGAGTTATTTGGGTTTATTTATTTTTTAAATGGAGGTATTGGGGATTGAACACAGGCCCTCGCACATGCTAAACACACACTCTCTTACTGAGCTATAGCTCCCCCCCAAAAGAATGCCTTCTTTCAGAAAGATAATAGTAAAATTACCAAAAGGGAAAAAAATCATTTCCTTTTTAGGGTTTTCTCCTCTTTTTTAGTTTATATTTTACCTTATTCTAAGGGAGATTTAGAAAGTGAATGCTACCACCATAGAATAAAATTTCTACAAAGGAATATGCTGTCCTGGTGTTTATGGAAGAGGCAGCATAGTGGTGGGGAAAGTTCAGTGCCCTACTTCTCTTTTACTACTTTGTGTGACCTTGTTTCATCTATTAAGTGGAGATAGTAATACCTTCCCAGTCATTACACTAAGTTGTGAAAATCAAATGGAACAAACAGAAACAGCCTCACAGACATAGAGAACAAACTTACGGTTACCAGAGGGTAAAGGGATAAATTGGAAAGTTGGAAATTGCACCTCTTGGGGAGTGATGGAAATGTTAGCTGCCTTGATTGTAGTGGTGGTTTCATCGGTGTATACATCTATCAAAATTCATCAAATTGTACACCTGAAATATGTGTAGTTTACTGTACAGGAACCATACCACAATAAAGGTGTTAAAAAAAACCCAAAAAAAAATCAAATGGAACAATATTTAGGAAGGTTTGAAAACTAAAATTCTATGTGAATATGACATGGTATTAGTATAATAAAATTCATTGTAGAATAGGACATCTGGAAAAGGCATTTCTCTCCATAAAAAAGGGCCATATTACACTATTAGGAATGAACTAGCAACCATGTTTGGTACAGTTTCAGTTGTATATGAACTAGTCAATTTTGCCATCTTGTCTTGAAACCTCCAGAAGGGAGTGTTTTAAAAACACGTGGTGTTAAAAAGATGGTTATCAGAAAGTGGTAGTAGGAAATCTGACATCTGAAAGAAAAATGTAGATACTTAATGTGTCTTTATTTCAAAATATATGCCACTCTACAGACAAATAACAATAGCTAGTTAACTCATTTGTTTAACTCATAGTGCAAATGGTGGGGGACTAGGGTGTGAGTTTCAGTTCCTAGAACAATTATCCAGAATCCCCTACCTAGCTATGGGATAAAAGAAAGAAAATAAAAATACACCAGCTCATATAGAAAACTATTGCTAGAGTAATAACTTAAAGATGCATGTTATCAACAGTTTGCACGTTCCATTTTTTAACTGTCATACACTACCCTTGGATGTATAAACTAGTACCTTTTGAGATGCAAATTTAACACAGTTTCAATTTGTATATTTTTTGAGGTAGCAGTTTCACTTAAAAGCCATTTGTCCTACAAGGCTATTTGCACAAGAACACAAAGATATGTGATTCTTGTTAAGGGAGCATTAATTTTACTGGCAAATTAGAAATAGACTAAAGATTCATCAAGAGAGGCTGGCTAGTATGTACTGACTTGGGGAAATATTTTCTGTATAATAGGTTAAAAATAAGTTATGCAACATTATTATTTGTATAAAAAAGTATATTTTGATATAAATAGAAAACATCTGGAAGCATGACTAATGAGTTTAACTGTGGCTACTTCTAGGATGGAAATTTGGAGATGGGGCTTAATCAGGGATTTAAAAAAATTACTGTTTGCTTCTTTTAGTGAGGATGTATTGGTGTCTTTCATAATTAGAAACTTAATCGGTCTTGTTGGAGGTTTTTAGACATGGCTGTTAACTCTTTGCACTTTTCTTTCCATTCTACAAATTATGATACACAGAATCAAAGGGAGCAACTTAATTGGAACAAGGGACAGTTAGTCGAAAATTAATATTTCTAGTGTTGTATTCTCTCATTATTTACAAGCAAAGCCTGGCCAAATGTTGAAAGAGCACTATAATTGCTTATACTTGTTTACAAAATGACCATCCAGGGACGCGTGCTTTACTTTTTGAAACTAATATATGTAAAAATGGCATTAATTATGTATGTCTGCTTAGAGTAAGTAATACAATAATGGCTATGATATTTCACATATCATAGTTAAAAATGCTACTTCAAATATTAATTCTTTTTTCAGTTTTAGCCAACAGAAAAATTACCATTATTCTTCTTTAAAAAGTTTTTTTCTGCTGTTTTGTGTTGTTCCTTAATGTGGAAGAGCTTTAGGGTAGGAAGTAGGTGAATAAAACTTTATCAAATCTTCTTTGATATTAAATAAGTAAGACTAGAAAGTGGTGAAAAGTGTGACTAGAAATATTCATTTTAAACTGGTATATTGTTTGTCATTCTATTTTTATTGTAGTAAAAAATACATAACATATAACTGACCATCTTAATCATTTTTAAGCATACTGTTCAGTAGCATTAAGTATAGTCACATTGTTGTGAAGTTTGTCACTTTAATGGACTGTTTTTCAGCTACCTTCTTTGTAACCTGTTTACCCATATCACTATGCAAAGCAAGACTTTTAACTTCCTATGATCTGGACACACAAAGTGAAGAACTTTTATGCCAGCTATATAATGCTGTTAGTTAAGGGTTTGGTTCATAAACCTGTTCCTTAAATTATAAAATTTTTAAAAATTTAGCTTTATAGTAGTATTTCTTCTAAGTTTTCTTACAAATCAGAATTTTGAAGGAGTGTATATAGTTGTCAACAAGCTAAAACAATCAATCACTGTACAAATTAATAAAATTAAGCGAAGTCTTTCTGAAAATTTTGCTAGAGGAAATCCAGACTTTAAGTTTGTCATTAATCTCATCAACACAGGGCTTTCAGGGAATCCCTTTGCCAGTCTTTTGAATGAGCTAAGAGGAAGAAAGGGTCATGCCAACTGGCACCATGTAATGCAAAGAGAACCTGCTTCATCAGGTAAGAAGAGTATGTCTGTAGGGATAGGATGCATTTAAAGATTAAAAGACTTACTTTTCCATATCTTTGTAAAATTAAATTTTGCTCTACATGAGGCAGTTTATGTTACTATAGTTATGGTGTTATTTTTAATACAGTTTAAGAGCAACTAAAGCACTTTGAATAATATAGAATCAGGAATTTTAGTGCAAAGTGATTTTAGAAATCAGGTCATTTAGTCATTGTTATACTTTTTAATTTGCTAAACATATACATAAAAACTTGTTTATATTTCCTTATAAATATGTATCTAATGTATTTTACTACTGTTAATTCCTGTATTAAATATCACTATTATTAACTTTTTATTTTTTAGACAAAAAAAGAATATAAGTACTCATTTTTAGTATTTTCTACCCCAGTCGATCACCTGTGCAACACTGAAGATCCTTGACTTAATTCCACACTCTTGCTTGATGTTTTTTAACAAATAACTCATGAAGCTGATACTGTGGCTTAAGTCTCTCAATTTGGTCCTATGTTTTCCCACTTTTTTCTTCCCTTTCTTGCTCTAAAAAGAGCTAATATCCCTCATGAAATACTTTATTTTGGAAAGTTGCTGTGTCTGGCAGGTGGTTGAGATCTATTAAATGTTTGTTAAATGCTTTGGCAGTAACACCATCAAGAATGCAATTTCCCCCCAAAACAAAGCTTCCACTTTTGTTCAAGTGCTTTTTGGTTCTTGGGATTGAAAACTGCTATTTCCTTGCTTTAAAACATCTTTGAGCATGTGATTATAATCAAAACAATTAAAAACTACCTTATTTTAACCCATTACTATAACATATGTGTAACTCAGGCATTTTTCTCCTATTAAATTGTTCTGGGATGGCATCAGGGAGTAAGTAGGTTGAATCATCAACACAATCACCGGGAGATGACCTTTTTTTGCCAGAGTAAATTTATTCCTGGTACAGTGGCTCCAAAGGCAAGATTGTGTGGGACATGCGTATTCTTGTAGACAAGCCCAGATCATCATAGCCCTGGCTTTCCCCAGAGAATTTTAATTCAGATTAAGGTCTAGCTCTAAGAAAGCCTAGTTATTCCTCATCAGGAGCTTTCCCTCCTCCTCTATACCCCTTTCTCTGTCTTTCAGACAGTTAAGCACCCAAACGTTCAGACGCTAAATGTAAGCTGCCGTTTCCCCAAACCTGGGCCCTTTTTGAAATATGCTTAGCAAGTCCAAGAAGGTTTTGGGTAAGTGGTACAGTAGATATACCATCCCTTCCTCCTTTTCTCCCTCTGCTTCCCACAACATGAATGAGCCCATGCTGTTACCTGCAACAGCCCCACAGTTCACCCTAAGTGAGGATTTTACACTCTTCTCACTTCTCTCTGGTTGGCTTCACTGAGACCTGCTGTCTCTGGGGCCTGCTGTGTGCAGTCACCAAAGTAGGCCTGCTTATCACAGAAGGATTGCCTCACTTTCTGATAGGTCTTCCTAGGGGGTAATTATGAATTATCACCTTCTTTTCTCTTAAGCCTGTTTACCTCCTATTGATAACTCTTCTAGAGGTGAACTACATTATCCTCATCACTGAGTTTTCACTTGAAGTGAGAACAAATTCTTTTAACTAATATTTACTAAAGATTTTTGTTCAGATTGACTGCTATATTGAATATATTAATATTTAAGCTTACCCATATCCTTTCTTCTTAGGCCCACTCCCAGGTTTGTCTCCCTTCCCATCCCTACCTGGCCTTTAAGGAAAATTCCTATATAAATGGAATTATCTGTTTACTGTAATACTGTGTTATAGTCTCATTTTATGAAATTTTATCTAAAAATCTGAATGTTAACTGAAAAAAAGTAATATTCTCAACCAAGAACAATGCTTGAGAAGTGAAGATGTCCATTTTAAAAAAGTTGTAAGAAAAATCTTGAGATTCTTAAAACATTTAAAAATATTAATAAATAACTAAAATATTTTGTTTTATGTAAGTTTTGTTAGGCCAGTCACAAGGAAAACCAGGAAGAAATTTTCTTTTTCAAAAGATTGTGGCTTCACTTCTACATTGTCCTTGGATATGTAGAATCCCTGCTGAGCTAAATTGTGTGTTTCTTTCATTTGGTAAAGATTTTTGCTATTTTTTTCCTTTTCAAATAGACCTTCAAGTTATTTTATTCTCAGTTCCAAAGTTCACATTGTTCTTTTGAGTAAAATACATAGAAGGACTGCAGCAGGGAGATGACAAATGTCCAGTTCACTTAAATAGTATCAGTATGATTTAATTATCTTAGGTTTTGCTTTGCTTTCTGTTAAATAAGATAAATTAGATAATATATTTAAATGCCAAATGACAATTTTATTTACTATTAGGAGGCTTAATTGTATGTGAACCCATATCTAAGCACAAATGAAATTTGCGTGGTTATATGTTTAGTAATTAACATTATCCATTTATTGAAGGTAGATAAATACTTATACTTATCTAAATCATCATTGTGACAGGTAAGAACAATAACTGTAATTTGAAAGGTCATTATTTGGTGAGCCTTACTTTATTTTTATATTGTCTAGTTCATATATATTTTCCACTGGGGTTATATAGAGATGAGATAAAAAAAGAGAGCCATAAACTTTTTATCTCTTTATCAGGCTTGAGCTAAGAAGGAGTTAGAGCATTCCTAGGTATGAGATCACCATGCCACAAATAATTTCAGGTAATTCATATCCTTCTCCAGTGTCCTAAAATATTCCAATGTGGGAGGAAGTCTTCATAAATTGGAGTCCTCATATAAATATTACCAACGATGCTATAGAAATTGGAGTTAGAGATAGAATAGGTTAGGGTAATGATTTCACATTGGGTGGGCCTGACGGAATCTTCATTGGAGGGCTCAAAGACATATTCTCTGAAATACCTGCACTATTAACAATTATATGTATAGGCTCCCTGCAAACTGGAATGATTGCAGATAATGGAAAAAGTCAAGGATAATACTTAATTTTTAATAGAAAGGGGAGGAACTGAGAGATCACACTCTATGTAGTCTTCTTTGAAATACTATAGTGTTAATCTTTAAAAAACAACAACAGCCAGAAAACCAAAAAACAAAAACCATAATTTACATGTCTACCGAGGGTGGCCAAGTATCCATTGTGTAGCTTGAATTTGTGAAAAATAATCTTACTAAATAAACTTGTTTTACTTCTTGAAACAAATGAATGGCAAAAAGAAGTGTGCATAGTAGTAGGTTTGATTAGATATGTAATCACTGCTGACGCTATGCAAAATTGTGATTTACAGAAAATTCAATCTGCTTCTGGCTTTGTTTAATATATTCAGATTACGCATACAATTGTACTTGCTGCGTACATACATTTTCAACTTCTGATTCATTCACTTAACATTATTTCATAACTACATGCTACTTTTACTTTTATATGACCAAGTTACTAAGGAATCTGAGCTTGGTGGGGGTATAAACATAAAATGTTTAATTTTTCTCTAGTCACTGCTCCCATTGTGCTGTATTGAATACCTTTTTCCCCCCAGACAGATTCCATTATTTTCTGGTCTTTTAAATTACTCAAAATGTAGCTTGGCCAAGTTTAAAACTTTGGTGTTTTAAAACCTCCTCCATTGCTAGCCAGACATGTAGCTGTAGGGGACCTGAAATGAGGAAGGGAGTATAGTCAATTTTTCATTCATTGTCTGTTTTCAGGCCCCCAAAGATTGGACCAGGGAGAGTATCTGATTCTAGGATATTTTTTCCTCTTTCTTTTTCAAGGCTAACTCCTCTGGTATTGGGGGATAGAAGTAGGAATAGAAGAGAAATGAATCATGCTCTGTATTTTGGTTATCTCTGCTTCTCCAGCTGACCTTAACTGCTCTTGATTCTCTTAATACCTCTTCTTACACAGCGTGCATTCTTTATTCTTTCAATAGATTAGTTCTCTATATTTAAATATTTTGCTTCCCTTTCTTTATGTATTGTTCTACTTTCTGAGAGATTTTTCACAACATTTTAATTACAATCCTTTTATTAACCTTTTTATTACCACTTACTAGCTGTATAAAGTTGGAAAAGTTGCTTAATATTCTCAGTCTCAGCTTCCTCATCTTTGAAATGGAGATAATAACATGAGATAACCATACTTCACAGCGTTTTTTTTTGAGGATAGAGTCATATAAAGCGCTTAAAATATTGTCTGACACATAGTAAATACTCAATAATAAATATTAGTTTAAGAAAAAAGCAAAGAATAATAAATATTAGTTATTCATCAGTATCTTGTGAATTTGGTTAGCCTAAGTGATTTTTGGGACATTTAGAAGATACTTTCCCCATATATGGAATCTAAAAAAAAAAAAAGAAGACAAATGAACTTAAATATAAAATAGAAACAGACTCATAGACATAGAATACAAACTTGTGGTTGCCAGGGGGGAGGGAGGTGGGAAGGGACAGACTGGGATTTTGAAATTTGTAGATACTGACAGGTATATATAGACTAGATAAACAAGTTTATGCTGTATAGCACAGGGAAATATATACAAAATCTTATGGTAGCTCATGGTGAAAAAGAATGTGACAATGAATATACATAAGTTCGTGTATGACTGAAAAATTGTGCACTACACTGGAAATTGACACAACACTGTAAACTGACTATAACTCAATAAAATAAAAATTTTTTAAATAGAAGATACTTTCTCACCTATAGTACTGATAACCAGATCCTGACTTTGGTGACTTCACTACACTACGCCTTTTTTGAGAAGACAACTAGCAGTTGGCATTTGGCAGTCATCCCTCTCTATCTCATTTTGCCCTTCAAATGCAACAATTTTTAAAATCCCATCTCCAGTTTTGCCTGCCTCTGTATCTGTTTATTTTTTTAATTAAAAAAAATTTTAATTGAAGTATAGTCAGTTACAGTGTGTCAATTTCTGGTGTACAGCATAATGTCTTAGTAATACATATACGTCTGTTTTGTAATGTAAAATTATACATAGTATCTTGTAAAAAATTTTTTTTGGTGGGGGTGGTTAATCTTTTTAAAATTTTTATGTAGTTATTTATTTTCTTTTAGCA